AAAAAGAAAGAAGAGATCCTAGTGACTTAATCTTTTAAGACCACAAATTCTTCTGTTGACTTAGAGCATCTCTTCAGCTCATCACAGCAGGAAAGTTCACAGCTTTCAACCTACTTGACAAAAATTTCCTCTTGCTTTCCATGTGGCAGGTGATGCTGCACTTCTCCACACACAGCAGCTCACAAACAACTAACAAGTAGTGCAGAGATGGGGCCACCACCTGCACTAGGATTTTTCTCTCTTCTGGCTAAGTGAGCTGAGAGCATCTGAGACCTTTACCTACAGTAATCATAAACACACTGACATTTTTTCTGAGTAATTACACTTATTCTTTCCTCCAGAGAGATAATAACATGTTCCATGGTCTAGTTAGTGCTTAAAACAATCACTTAACAGAATGAAGTGCTCTGCTTTCAATCCTATTGCCGCTTCTATAACAGACTCAAAGGGTTCTTATGTCCTGAAACTAGAGGCACAAAACATCTCTATTCTTTCAGTTTGAAAGCATCTCAGTCTCTCTTTTTCACTTGCATAGGAAGCCAGAAAGCGTTGTAGGATGCTAAGTCTCTGCTGCTTTTCAACAGTACACACAGGTCATCACCTCCAAATCACATGTGAGCAATGGCTGTTAAAGCAAATTGCTGAAAATGACAGAGCTGAAAAGTGCAAAAGGAAAAGTAACTCCCACCTCCATAATGCTATTTTATATCAGAGAAGTTAGCTTTAAGTACTGATGTTTCAAACATTTATTCTGTGGCCACACAGACCCTCTAGATTTATGCCTTTCCTCACAGATAGCTGATGTATCCTCTTCTACACAGGGACTCTTAGAAACTACATGCATGACTTTTAGCTTTTATATCCTCAGCTCTAAATACCACCCCTACCTCAAACACAGCCTGCTTTCCATGATATCAAAAAAAACCCAAAGCAGGGGCCTTTTTTACTGCTGTGGATTCAAGAATGCTATTGGGTTTGTTTTTATGTCAGGTCCACTTGGATGATCCACTCAGTGGTGTGGTGGAGAAGTCAAATCAATAGCACCATCAGTGAAGCAAGACCCTGGTCAGTCACCTGCAAGGCCATCCTTTGCCATCAGCCTTCAGCCATTTAGCTGGAGAATTATATAAATTATATAAAGAACTGAAAGAATATGAGAGGACCATTATAAATATTTACATTTTGATTGCCTTCTGAAGTTGGAAGTCACTGGGAAAAGTCTCAGAGTTGGTGCATCTACAGTGACCTGACAAGTAATGTCAGTGGACTCAATGCAGTAACAGTGGGACAAGGCTGAGAAAGAGATACCCCTCTCATCCAAGTTATATAAATTATATAAAGAACTGAAAGAATATGAGAGGACCATTATAAATATTTACATTTTGATTGCCTTCTGAAGTTGGAAGTCACTGGGAAAAGTCTCAGAGTTGGTGCATCTACAGTGACCTGACAAGTAATGTCAGTGGACTCAATGCAGTAACAGTGGGACAAGGCTGAGAAAGAGATACCCCTCTCATCCAAGCAGGCCCTACACGTCCCTGGTTTTTTTTTGCCTCTCCTTCTCCTCTGCAGCACATTTAAGGGGCTCATTTTCCCCAGCAAGACTAAACAAAAATGCCAGTAAATCAAAACAACAGTTGTGTGTTATCAGCTGCAAAGACAGTGAAATTTCAGGACAAGCTTATCTGTAATAAAAGAGGGACAGCAGTGATATGAATATCTTTGCTTTTAATATGACAGCATGATTGTGCTATGCAATGAGCTGAAAATATTATGAAAGCCCCCAACTTGAATCTCCGCCAAGCAAACTATTTTTAGTGGAATGTGTTTAGCTTGTTTGTTAAAGATTTAAACCCAGGCAATAATTGCAGTTACTCTTCTGCCTGATTTAAGTAGGCAACATTTATTAATGTACAGTGATTAAGTCCACTATTCCAAAGTAAGTCACAAAGACTTAAAATTATGAGGAAACAGGATGGTAACCTGGCTGAAGAAATTGAACCCTGTGATCCAAGTAAGATCTGTTCCATCAGAAATAGCTTGTTGGGGTGGACTAGACGGAAGAGAGCTGCAAGTTATGAAAGGGAATTTGATTGGTCCCTCTGAAGGCAAAGTAATAACTGACTGATCAGAACAAACTCTGTCATAGATTTTATAGACCCAGCTATTTCTTGCAGGTCTCCAACCGGCAGTTGGTTTAAAGTAAGTCCATGCAAGAGCTGGATTCAGGTTGGTTAAGAGATTTACCCATGATCAAACCCCTGATCCATGTTGTTATTCTGTGTTCACACTTACACATTCATCAGAATTCAGTATCCTGCATATCTACTCTTTAAAATGTCCTTGTTGAGCAGCAGATTTCTCCTGGCCTGTCTGTTTAGCTAGTGTACAGGTGTGTACAAGCTCTTTGGCAAGAGATATACCAGGATATAACCACTCCTGTGTGCTGGGGGATGAGGGAAGTTTGCTTTTGATAACAATATTCTGAGCACTTGGAATACCCAGTGTTTTTTGCTCCATTATATTATGCTAAAGAAAAATAAGTCTACAAACAGATCTACCTGCTTCAGCTGTTTGAACAAAACACCTCATTAAATAGCAGATTTTTTTTTTCCTAAAGAAGCCTGGTACACATCCAATGGGTAAAAGGATGAATGGGTATAATCTTTCAACACACAAGACTACACAGAGTGGGTGTTTCATAGCCGCACAAAGCCCATAATTGAACTTCTGCCCTAGGGATAAGTTTTCCTGCAGTGTAAGTACTTCCAGATGCCATATGGGGGTCATGTTCTTTGTCAGGAAAGCAGAGCTTTACATCCAGTTAATTGTTGTCCCTAGCTGTCTTTTTTCTGCTTTTGCTTTTCTTTTCTATTGAGGCTAGTTTTCCAACAGTCATTCAAGCAAATGTGCTCATTTCCCAGTTCCCCCGCAATTCCCGACCACAGTGTAACAAAGTGCAGATTTTGCATGGCTACATTCCAAACTTCGTGGTGATAAAATCATAGCAGCAATGGAAAAGCATGTAGCCTCAATAATCATAATGTAGGACGTGAGCTAGAGGTGACTCAGTGGTAGTCAAACAGATGCTACATGAAAATAGAATGGTTTCTGTGTACAGACTGGTTAACCCATAGAGTTAGTACTCACACATGAAGGTTTTCATGGATTGCTGTGCAGCAAAAACTACTCTGTCTGAATTAAACTGATGATCTCAATTCAGTTCACTGTGTCTGTGTGTCCATCTCAGAACACAGTGACCATGATCAGCAAGTCCTTTATCCCATAATTCCTTTGGGCTTCATCTTTGGTTTCAATCACATATTAAAAGGTAAAGACCGTGTCCATCCAGTATCTGGATCTCTCCAGCTCAGTGGTGAAATATTCACTGGTTTGAGTTGGATCAGCAGTGGCTGAGAGAGGATAGTTCAGACCATAGTCTGCTGCAGAAAAAACTAAAAATATTGCAAGGAAGACAGTGGATGTAATAAAAGGGCAACTTCTTTATTTTCCTCAAAGTATTAATGATAAATTCCTATGTGTACATTTGCAATGCCAGTCCCTTGTTACCAAGCACTAGCTACCACCTGCTTGGGCTACCAGACCTGTTGGATTAAGAACAACTTGGGTGAGTTCACAGTTCAGGGTGCCAAGCAACTGACCATTAAACACTCACGACCAAAGTCTTGGGAAGGATCTTACACCAACTTGCTCAACTTTACCATTAATAGCTCTGGAAGAGGCAGCTTCAGTCCACTGTAGTTCTGCTTTTCAGACTGTCTATCAATACAGATACAGTCCTACCTAAGTAGCCCTTACCACTCACTCTTCCCTCAGAAAACAACTCAGCAGTTTTAGCCCACAAGAGATCCCTTAATCTTTGTAATAAGAAGAGGTTTGACTTTTACAGCAACCCACTCCTAATCTCTTTGTGTCTATTCTCTGGATTCCCCCAACAGGGAAGCCCACACTATTCTGTGGGCTTCCTGGTAAAATTTGTCACTGCCTGATGCTACAAAGCAAATGTATGCTGTAATCTTAAAGGTCTGGAGCTAAATATTTAGAGCTCAGTCAGCACTTGGGCCTCATAGGAGTTGTATATTCCCCAGAAAAGTTCACTAAATTTGTGGAAACCTGAAAACTACTTTTATCCTTATTTGGTAAACAAAAACCAGAGGGGAAGTACACGATGATCAAAATGGTCCTCATCTGAACATGCCTCTCCTAAGCTTCTGTCAGACCACCAAACAAATAGGTTGTGCCAAGCATTCTTCTCTTTGGGGGCTTGTGCCAAGATTTGGACCTTCTGATTTGTTAGTACAGGTAACATCCACTCACATTCCCCCTTGTAAGAGGAGGTCAAGGAAAACCACTTGCCACCCTGTGAACTTCCAGGAAATACTACTGAGCTTCATGCACCTGTGCTCCTCCCTGTGCTGAAACTTCACCAGTTCAGACAATTTCTTACTCCTGTTGTTGCAATTAACCTTCAGATAAAATTATTAACTACTTAATCTTATGCATGTGAAGGATTGATCCAATTTATTAGCCTAGAAACTATGTCCTCACTGCAATTCTACATCTGTTTCTCCTCCCTAGATGAAATCCTGACCCCTTCCCCCCAGCCTGGCAGTGCTTACTTGCTCAGAATTAAAGGGCAATTATCTCCAACAAAGACAGAGGTGATCACATCTCCTCCCTTAACTGGGACACTGAAAATGAAAAAGTCCTCTCCTCACCCAATGCTGCTTCTGAAAGATCCTGCAGAAAATTGGGCCCAATACCTGTTATCTGGCCCAATGTGCTAATCATTTTTTTAAAAAGAGCTGGGGTCAGCATCGTCTCTGACATGACATGCTTAGATGAGGAGTTGGGGCAAGGAGAAGGGAATCAGCATCTCTGGGGATCTGTGCTTGGCTCCTCTTCGTACAATGCCTGCCTCCAACCATGAACTCCCACCCAGCACCACTGCCCCACAGTCAGTACTGTTTCATACTCACCATGTCATAAACATTTAGAATCACTGGTTCATTTGCCATTGTTGATTGCAGTAGAGGCTGGATTAAAATCTTTCAGTCCCTGCCAGATGTGTGTTGATAACCCCAGGGTATGCTTTTACCCTGGGCCAGATAGAAGGAAATGTCTCATCCTACAGTCGCTGAAGGAAGAAGTGTGGAGGGAGGAGGAAAGAGGGAATTCTCGCGGTTGTGTGTGTGTGTGTGTGTGTGTCTATAAACTTGGTTGCAGGGAGGCAGGAAGGCTCGGGCTGAGTTTGTTGGTTGTCTAGGGCTTATTTTACCCGTCCACAGCTTGACAGATCCAAGGTTTCTTTCTAACTCTGTAGCGCACCTTGGGGTCTGTAGACTCATACAGCACTGTAACCAGGCACCGTCCAAGCTTGTAAATCCCGATCCACAGAAGACAGACTCGGAGCCCAAATATAAGCCCCCTTCTGGCACCGTGAGCAAGGCGGGCGGCAGTGTGTGAAGGGGATTTCTCGGCGTCCTTCTCGGCAGCGCGGCGTGCTGCTACAGCAGCATCTGCCAGCAGTACGCAATAAACCGGGGCGCCGAGCTCCCTCCCTGCCGAGC